TTTTGAGGTCCCTTGCCCCCCTAACCATGCTATGATAATTTCCAGTCAAGATGGAACATGGGTCACTAAAAGAGCGTCTAGCCCATATTCACATCCTTGCCTTAGGCTGGCTGGTGTGATCAGGGGGAAAGGGGACTTTCAAAGTGAGGTGAATGATTAAATAAGGAAGAGAGGGAAAAGGAGAGGAAGTATGAATGAATGGATRTTTCTTGAATCAACTGGAGAAGAATAGGGGCAGGGATGGATAGGGGCTTTTTGGACTGCAGGCAGAGGGAAGTTCTGATGCAGGAAACTATAGCTGCAACTGCAGTTGGGAGATTGAAAGAGGCAATTCTGAACCTAATTCCTGCTTTTGGAGCATGCCAGTACTGTTTTTAGTATCTGAAAACAGGTTCTTCTGTTATGGCATTCATCTGCACAGATTCTCACACAACGTAGGATTTACATACAAATGGTCAGCTTGTGGTGTGAATTCTTACAGTTCCGGTGACTGAGCCAATGTGTTTGAAAGTTTATACCTCCAACCACAAAAAAGATCTTATGGCATTTAATTTTTTTTACCTGAGATTACCAGTGCCTAGTAATATTTTTCCAAAAAACAAACTATTTAGATCACTAAGAAAACATACAAAAACTAAGCCAAAGCCAGGATTCTGTACAGCTCCAAAGAAACTCACAGTGCAGGGTAAATCTCCCCTCTTGCTTTTAAGCTTGAATTAGCAGCATGCCTCAAAACTAAGAAATATGTGCCTAAATTCAGCTGTTAGCTAATGAATCAAAGACKGACCTCACTGTTAAGCCATTGTCCATCTGTATTTTATGACTTCCAGAGATACACAAGGCTTCCAGAATCAAACAGTCATTTGTGGCTTCCCTAGTATTCCCTGACTTGCTGACTGCTCACCAAAGCAATGAGCGCTCTTAGCTGTCTCTGTGCAATTTCCTGGCTAAAGGAGATCTGGAATGTAAAAGTGTATTCATCACCAGAGGTTTTGCAGGATTCCAGGACTTCAATGAAGCGGTAAGAGATTATTTAAAATTGGAGTGGCATGAAAGTTCCTCTGAGTTTTCAACCAACTATAGGGTAACTTAACCAACAAGTAACTCACAAGGAGAATCAGAATTACTTGGGATTTAAGCATAAAAATAAATATACCAAATTGTAATTACTGTTATAACTGTAACAGACAGATCCTGACCTTTTACTGTGAGCTTCTCAGTACAGAAATGGAGGACTAAGTGGCAAGTGGGAACATGTACAGTGTGACGCTCTAACTGTTTAACTGGAGTGAAACAACTACACATAGTCAAACACTGAGAAATGTTAGTGCATAAGCTGGATTTTCAACTTCAGTGCTAAGATCAAAAAAGTGTAACCCAGAGCCAGCTTTGCTAAGATGGTGACCATGGTTCTTATATCCGTATTTGAATTCATTCTAGATGAGAAATCTTAACAAATCTTTCTCCAGGGTGGTAGGAGGTGCATGTCCATGCTAAATAGGCATTGGATGTAATGTGTTATTTGTATACATTTTGGAAGTGATTTTAACTTCTGTTATGATGGGTATTACACAGCATCTAACATCAGGATATAGAAGATAGGAACCAGATGCTGCTCTCTGCTAGTCAGGTGTTCTGGCCCTTTTGTTATTTTTTACTTTGCTCTTTTGGCACTAGAACACGCTAAAACTTACTGAGGAAATGAAAGATTGTTGCTGTCGTGCTTTTGTGTGTTTGTTTAGCAAAAACACTTGTGCGTCATAGATATGTGTCCAGAAACACATTCCTCACTGCTTTAGTGTACTGTATTATCGGGACAAAATGAAATAGTTATGATTCGAAAGTGTTTTACATTTTGCAGAGCTATACAAACTTATATGATATATAGGGCAGTGATGAATCATAGTCTGTCATCTTCTTCACTTCACACCACTGTAGCGACTTTACTTTGCTGAACTGACTTCTGATTTACTGGGTGAGAAACTTCCAGGCAGAAGTGGGCTGACCYACCATCACCTTCAGTTCTGCTTGCCAGTGCTTGCTGTTCCTGCATCTTCACAGTGAGATCTTTGGCTGAGGAACTTTGTAATTGTGTGTTATATAACTATAGGACTCCCTTTTTCTTTTTGTCTTTTTTCTTTTGCCTGCTACTAGGACTTAAGAGACTTGTAATTAGTTTTCAGGTCATTCATGAACTCTGTTTTATTCCATGTAGGCAGAGTCCAATTTGTCTCTGCTTGAGCAGATTAAATGAGTGGACAGGTTAATGCAGGTGACTAAGTGGGCATATCCTAACAAGTTACTGTCCCTCAGCTAAGMTTCACCTTCTGTGATTTCACATGCTCTTGTGTTCCCCTGCATCATGTCAGTAAAGATATTTGGGGATTTGAACTGACTAAAAACACCTAGGAAAACTTCTAGGTGGACCAGTTCTTTCATCCCTTCCATTACATGGCTGCACAAATAGCTGTGCTGGGRCAGTGCAGGAACAGAGATGCACAGCAGAGTAAGAACTATTAATATGGTGCTGCTGAYAAAGAAGAAATCATCAGGCTGTGCCCTATGGCAGCTGTACTGCTCGTTCTGCTGTGTGTCTGAAGGGGAGGAAAATGCAGTTCTTACATGATCAATGTAAAATCTACTGTTCAAGAGTTGGTCTTTGAGGCTGGGGTCKGGTGCCAGGCTTCTTCCCACAGATCATAGGAGACCCTTTTGAGGTGTAAGAAGTCCCCTTTTTCTTCCATACTGGAAAAGGGCCATCTGACTTTAACCTGAGTACAAGGCGAGATGGATCCTTTCCCTGAAAACCTCCTGAACACTTTACTCTGATTGCTTAGAAATGCAAATAAAATTATTTACATTTCACTCATTCCTTTCTCAAGTACCAATTCTGGTTGCAGTGGTAGCTTTCTATCCTATTCTTACGCTGTTCATGGATATCTTCCTCCTTTTGTTTAGGAACTCCCTCTGAAATATCCCGCAATAGTTTTAGATGAAGGAGTCTTKAAATTTGGGTAAATTCGGAAAACTCTAAGTATCATAATTCCTGGATGTCTATTCATCCCAGCACATCTCATTAGGGCTCGACATTATTACAGAGTAGGAAAATAGCAAAATGTAAGGATTCTGAAGGTTTTGGTGAGATCCCTTGGCAGCAAATATWCAAAGGTTCAATTGAAAGAATTTCTGAACTGAGTTAACTTGTGTATTGATTGTMTTTTCTCAGTTACAAGTGGGTTTAAAAGTGCCTATAATTGAAGCCCTGTTATTTCATTCTACTTTAAGTACCTTTATACAGATACAGCCAGAACAGGGGCTCTGCTGTGAGAATCACAGAATCCAGAATGGGTCAAGCTGGAAGGGACCACAGTGGGTCATCTGGTCTAACCTMCCTGCTCAAGCAGGGTCATCCTCGAGCACATGGCACAGGATTGTATTTRGGTAATTCATTAATATCTCCAGTGAAGGAGACTCCAAAACCTCTCTGGGAAACCTGTTCCAGTGCTTGGTCACCCTCACAGCAAAGAAGGTCTTCCTCATACTCAGGTGGAACTTCCKGTGCAYTGRTTTCTACCTCTTGCCTCRTATTGTATTGCCTGGCACCACCAAGCAGAGCCGGGCTCCATCCTCCTGGCACCCTYCCTTCAGAAACTTACAGACATTGATGAGGTCCCCTGTCTGTCAGCTGTTCTCAAGGCTCAACAGGCCCAGCTCCTTCAGCCTTTYCTCATAAGAGARATACTCCTGTCCTCTCATCATATTGGTAACTCTTTATAGAGCCACTCCAGGAGGAGCTCCACRTCTCTCCTGTACTGAGGAGCCCAGACTGGACACAGCACTCCAGATGAATTTCAYCAGGGCTGAGTAGAGTGCACTACACCAGGTGTATATGGACCAGGTCTTAGGACAACCACTGCAATTACCTGTCTCATCCATTCTCCTTGTGGTTGAATAGATGTATTTGGCAAAATGTCTTGTCAGACAAGGCATGCTTATGGAGTATTTTGGACTGATCTCTTGCCTGGCTTCAAAATTTATTTTTTAAAATTATCAGGGTGCATCCATGTTTCTGGAGCCTCTGGGMTTTCAAGCATGGTACAAAAGGAAGTCACTCTTCAGTTCTCAATTCAGGGCTGAAGGGTAACTGTTGGCTTTTAATTCCAGCTTTGATGGAGCCCCATTTATGGTTCCAGCATTTAAGCTGAGCTGCATGGTTTTAACCTCAGTTCCGGCCCAGCAGCAATCCTGTAAACTCTCATCCATCTCTGGGATGCTTGATACAGGCTGAYCCTGTCGCTGCCTTTGAAGTGTAGTGACTGATACGTATTACCCTAAACTACACAAAAACCTTTATGTTGCAACCAGAGGACAGACTACGGCCAGACGGTGCTTGAGGSAGCTCACGCAATCTGCCTGTGTGCGTGGATTTGAATCCAATTTTAAATGTATCCGACAGAGGGAAGTGCTTCAAACTGCAATTCCACAGCAGGTTCAGCTGACTGAAATCAGCTCTGTCGCAGCCCCCCGCTCCCTATCAGTCCCAGACTCGCATTCTCGCTTCCTCCATTTGTTTGCTTTTGCGGTGTTAATTTTCTGCTGGTTTAGCTCCCGAACAAACTTATCACGGAAACTGATAACCGTTGGTACAAGGGGAAAGGGCGAGACTGTGGCAGCGCTGTCTTAATGTGTCATGTATAGGGGCATGCTGTCTCGGTGTAAAGCTTGTCTCCCTTTGCCTGCATCTACCTGCTTCACTGGAGCATTTCACCTTTGTACCTCAAGAGAACACGTCCCAAGAACACCTCAGCATGCCCGGGCTCTCTTCTCGAGAGCCGTGCGCTGTACGYGCAATCAAACCCCTCCTCTTTTTCTCTCCAAGCAGAGCACAAGAGCTGAGCCGAAAACTCCTGTGAACTAGGGTGACAAGTTTCCAGCAAGCTTTGGATCGCSGGGAGAGGGAACACCCGGATCCCGGCAATATAAGGTATAGGCRGCTTCGACTTGTGCAACACAGCAGCAGGGCAGAGCCCGTTTTATTCTTGCCTTTTTTGGATCTGCACGCACACAGTCCTCAGCACAATGGAGCCGGCTCTGCGATAGCGCAGCGAGATACGAGCAGCAGAAATAAAGTCATTGCGGCGCTGCTCGCCAAGGCTGCAAGTGCCGGCGATCCACTCCCCGCGTGGCCGCTCCGCCGATGGCGTGATTCCCAAAGACTTGTACGTCCCAGGCAGGCCAGCGCCGCTCCCGCCCTCTGCCCTGCGGAGCGGCGGCGCTCCGGGAGCCGYCTGCAGCCGCAGCACGGCCGGAGCACAGCCCGCGGCTCCCCGAGGCAGCGCCGAGGCCCACCACGCTCCGGGGTCCCGATCTGCTGCGCCGGGAAGGTACCAGCCCCCTCCCACAAAAACTTTCCACCGCGGGCCACTCGGCTGCGGTGCTGCCCCCCGGCCGCCGCCGAGCGAAGCGGGAAGGACCTGCCCCCTCCCAGCTCCCCGCTCCCTTCCCCGCCCCGGCGGGCCCGGCTGCCCACCTTGGCGGCAGGGGGGCTGCGGGGCGGGCCCCCCGGAGCCAATGGCCGCGGCAAGGCGGGCAGGGTGCGGGGGGCGGCGCCGGGCCGACAATAGGGGCGGTSTGGGCAGCGGGGCCGGGCGGGGAGCCGGCGGAGAGCCGGGCAGCACCTTGCGGCGGGCGGAAGGTGAGTCCCGCCGAGCCGGGGAAGGGGATTTCCTCGCTTGTTTTGTAACTGGGAAGTTTGCGCGGGGGCTGAGCGGACGGGTTCGTTCTTCTTCAGCTCTCACCTCCCTCTCTTCTTTGTAAATTTTCTTTTAGAAGGGGGTTACTGAGCCTGCCTTCCCACTCTTCATTTCCCCCTCCTGACTCCCCGCTCCTGCATCCCCGGCTCATTCATTTAACAAAGAGAGTTGGTCTCAGCCGTCGGGCTTTGCGAGCGGGGAGCCCTTCGGGGCCTCATGCTTGGGGTCCCGGGGCAGAGTTTGGGGTGGAATCGGGGCTCAGCTCACAGTTTCTGTCAAGCACCCCGTCCTGGCTTCGGCCGGAGGGGCGGGCGCTTTGCGCYAGCACAAAGAATTGAGGGGTTTACCCACGCTGGGCGATGGGGTGATGAAGCCTCGGGCTTTGTGTGGCTGGTGAAGGAGGGATGGAGAGGTGGGAGCTTGTCTTTTAACCCCTCCGCCTGCGTGTGTGTACGAAACCGTGGYTTTTTGCTGTTGAAGTACTTACAAAGCTAAGACGAACTTTGGGATCGTGGCATAATTCAGATTGGAGGGGAAGTCAGGTGGTCTCTAATCCAGCCTCCTTCAAARCAGGGGTTTATGCCCGGGGAGCAGTGAAGGGACATCGGGGATGGGTGGCATTCTGGGTGCTCTTTGCTCTTGAATGCTCCTGGGAGCCCGAAGGAGGAGGCAGCACCAGCAGGACGAGTCTTCAGARGCAGAAGCGCTTCTGTCTTCTGCTGTGCATGGAAATGCCCCAATCCACAGCTCTCCCATGCCTGCAATCCCTGGTCTTGCTGCCTTTGTTATCCAGAGGGCTTAAAATTCATGATTGTTGGGAGTAGCTGGCTCCATCCGTATGTGTGTCACGGTGCATCTGCTCCTGCTGAGCAGTACTTGATCCTTATTCCGACATTGCCTTCAGGAGCAAGATTTATAAATAGGTGTCAAAACGCAGCTCTTTGCTTGGGACTGGCTGTAAGGCATGTACTTTGTGTGGTAATTAATATGAGATATGTGCGTGTGTTGTGTGTAAGAACAACCATGAAAGCTGTTCAGTTAGCCAAGCTTTTTATTTTCGGAGTGAAAGCAGGTATTGCGGCTGGGTGAAATGGCTGTGTCGGGCACAGACGGAAGAATGTTTGTTTTCTTTGCTCACATTTACTCTTTGCACAGTGGCTCACGGTTGCCTTTCACGGAGCCACCTCCCCYTTTTCCGTAGCTGGAGTTGCCTTGTGCTATGCTCATTACCTGGCCAAGCAGGGAGCATCTTCCTGTCTGTCGCTCCAATATCTCTTAGTRTGGGTGTGTTGATCTTGCTCTCAGCTTTATAGGCTAAGGCTGGAAAAACTCCTCCTTGTGGARCAGTTTGTGTGTGTCCACTGGATGCTTGGAAATCGCTTTTCCCTGTGCATTTTTTTGTGGGTAAGTCAGAGAAGTGAAGCTCATCTCTGCACAGAGAATGGAAGGTGCAGTGGGAATTTAAATGTGTCTAAATACCGATTCGCTTTAACTCTGGATTGCCCGTCTTGTGCCACAGAACGGAATTTGTTCTCAGCTGTACTATATAACAAAGCTGGAGTCTAAGACTGGACAATAATAAGCCAGGTGATTTTTTTAGCCCTTTTTGAGTCCTGTGTGGAAGGACCAGCATGTTTAAATAGGATGATATAACTACTTTTCTTTGGTTTGGAGACGAAAGCCAAAAAATAATCTTGAAGAGGAAAATGYTCTTGTTGCCTGACAGCAAGAATACTTTTATTATTTTTTTGGGGAATATTATGTGCTCTGGATGTTGTTCATTGAAAAAAGAAAAGTGGGGCTTTTCGTTCATGATTTTCTGTACATTGTGGGGATGTTGGAAGAAATATGTGCCAAGTCCAATATAACTGCCACAACTGAAAATCTATTGCTTGTTTATTGTGTTTCTGATTGCCTTGCTTGCACTGGATTGAAAAGTGATGCTAGTGTCTTTGCTCAAGAGGTCAAAGAATTCTTTTATTATCCTTTTCYAGGTCTGTGAAGGGAGACCTTTCTCTCAGCTTTGTTTGCAACACATTAATTTCACCTAGTTTGCTAACTTGTGTTTTGTCTTTTTATAAATAAAGGTGAGCTGCAGTAGGGCTTCTTTCCTTCATTTTCCCTTTTGTGCACCTGTCTCACTTCCTTGGTGTGGGAAGTTCTGTAATTTCAAAAGCTTGTTGTTATGGTCCAATTTCCTTATATGCTTAAGAGTGCACAGAACAACCTAGAAGTGAAATAAACTTTTCCCAGTAAAAAAATACAGAAATGTTTCAGAGCTGCACCCTCAAGGTGTTGYGGTTTTAGTTTATCCTGTCAACAGCGGATAATAGAAGCAAATAGTCTTTGTAAAGGAACTGACCAGCCTTGGTGAGAAAGTGCAAGACACAGGTTGAAACCAGACAACTAAAAAAAAAGCCATGTTTCTTAAAAGCCTGGTCCACCATTAGCCCTCTGACAGGTACAAGAATGCCTACTGTTGGCCTTTTACCTCCATGCGAAGGCAAAATAATACTGTGTGCCAGAACTGTATTTGTCACAGAGTGTTTTTCTATACCTGGCAAGGAGCTGAACTAATTTTCTCAGCCTGATGCCTTGGCTTGTATAGGTTTTGGGGAGAATGTAAGCATGTTCTGCTTGATGCTGAAGGCTTGCTCTTATGGAGAAAATAGTCCAGTGTGTGACCCTTCTTAGGCACTRGCACAGCTCTCACCTGGGAGGAGCTGCTTTGCATCCCTGTTCCSAGAGATGGGAGTGGTTGGGTCCATTTCCTTTGGGCAGCAGAGCTGGGACTGTCATCCAATGCTCACTGATGTGGCACAGGAGTCACAGTGATCAGTTCTTCCCATCTGAGGTWAAGGCACATGATGCTCTTTAGAAATGAATAGGTTAAAAGTACCTGGTGCTGCTTGTACTAATCAGGTTTTTGCTCAAACTGATGTTCAAGAATGAAATTCTTGCTCTTGGGTGCAGCCGTGCACAGCATGTGCAGGTGTGGATGTTATGGCTGTGACGTGATGACTGCTTCTAGCTTTATGTAGGAAAGGAAGCTGACTTTTGCCCTATCCCGCTTTAGGCACATCCTCAGAGCTATGGATGAGTCTTTGAGTCCTTCTGTGGTCTGTCTTCTTTCTGGCATGTGACAGTGGGGTGTGACCACAGTTTCAGGGCTCTCCATGGGATTCACTAGATAAAAACATGGATGCTCCAAGCTGAAAACATGGTTGCTYTGAGCTGAACATGTCTCCCCAGGCTCCCAGTGTGCTCTGCAGAGAGAAAATGGCCCTTTCAGGATGTGCGTTGTATCATCCTCCTGTAGGTGTTTTTAAAATAGGTCAGAGTTGCACTCTAAAAATGCTGATTCCTCTTGTGTTCTCCTTGGTCTCCTCTGTCTCCTGTGTGTTGTGTTGTGTTGTATGTGGGAGCAGCTGAGAGGAGTTTCACCCTCTCCTCTCACTGTGGGGATACATGCAGGCAGCATTGCTAACAGATCCATCGGCAAAAACACTGTGGTAGTGTGGCTTTCACCCTTTCTCTTCATTTTAGCACTTGTTTGTGGGGATGGGGGAAGAGGAAACAAAAAAAAAAGAAAAAAAAAAGCTAACTGAGAAGTGGATTTCCAGGGGACTTTGAAGAAAAAGTCAGAGTACTCAGTTGTGGTTTGTGTACTAATGTACTCTTTCAGACTGGCAATTCAAGTATTCCAGCTTCCACTCATACACTACCAATCTCCTGTGTATAGTCTGAGATGCRGGTTAAACAATAACTTCCCCTCCGTAGTTTCTTTCCTTCTTGCAATCTGTACTCTTTGGACCTRCCATATAGGTAGTTTGTTCCACTCTTAAGCTGGTACAACTGCCTTCAAGCCATTTTATTTCTTCCTGTGAAAAGTCAGAAGCGCTGCTGAATCAGGGCAGCCTTGTATCATCTTGGGTTTAAAAAAAAAGGAAGAGAAAAAAGTTACTGGTGTAGAAAAAGAGGTCCTAATTTGTGAAACTTGGGCCAGATCATAAGACTGCAGAAGCAGTAACCAAATGTAGTTTCAGAAAAGAAATAATTTCTACCAAAGTAGCCCTTTTTGATCCAAATGACCTGGTGAGAGACAGTGCACAAAATATATTGTGACTGCCTTGAAGCATATGACATCTAGCTGCAAACAATTCCTTGACTTAGGTGGGCTTTCAGCTATGGGACTGTGAGGAAGTCCAGTGGTATGTGCTGCATGCAGGTGAGGCATAAAGTCTTGTGTCATGCCTTTTTTCTTCTTCTTTTTCCATGAAATCTGTCCACCTGTAATCAAAAAGGAAAATGGTGGAGGAAAATAATTGCTGTTCATATTATGTGTGTTTTGGGAATGGAGGAGTTGTCCAAGTTTACCTGAAGGCATTKTCTCCTGCCCTTGTGAGCTTGATGCATGTAGTTACAGTGTCTGTCCATGGTTTTTTGATGGCATTTGATGACTTTCCAGATGGCAGCAGAGAGAAGGAAAATCAGATACAAAAGGTTAGGACACAGTTTGACAGATTGGCTTGCTAAGGTCACAGCACACTCTGAGTTACTTTTTCTTAGCATCAGTAGGATTTTGAACTGTCAGCTTCCYTAATGACTGTACATGAAACACAATTATTTCA